TACCACAGAGTTAGTTCCAACTCATAGTATCCCCATGCAACATCAAAACAGTTTTTTAAGCAGCCAATAAGGATTTAAAGAAAATAAACATGAAAATCATTTGAATTTCAGTTTTACATGCTAATAAGCAAAGCTATTTTTCTGGGCCCATGTAGTACTTAGTATGTTGATAAACTTTTCTTTTGGTATCAGCAAAAGTATCATTTATCCTTAGTGTTTATTAATTATTTTTTAAAGAATGACACTCCTAATGAAATACGTTTTTCACAGCTCAAAGATGGCGGCAAGGCATCCCAGGCAAATGTTCGAATAGGTGATGTGGTTCTCAGCATTGATGGAATAAGTGCACATGGAATGACTCATCTTGAAGCCCAGAACAAGATTAAAGGGTGTACAGGCTCTTTGAAAATGACCCTACAAAGGTAAATTGCTTTTTGTTTGCCTCTGAGAAAGAAAGGGAACACCACTCAGTAACATGTTTTTGTGTGTCTGATTCATAGTGCTAAGAAGCAGTTACTGCTACCATTGTTTCAGGTATTGTTGTTGTTGTTATTTGCCGTTGAGTCGCCCCCGACTCATAGCAACCCCTCCTTGGGTTTCCGAGGCAGTATCACTACGTAAGTAGGATTGATAATGACTCTTAAATTGGGTAATCAGGCAACACGAGAAGTGGTAAAAGCTATGCATTGTTTTCCCATAAAAAGGCATATATTCGTGTACTCTCAAAACTGAGTATGTAATTTCAGGGAATTTAAGAATTCCTAAAACTTTTCTGTGGTCCTCAGGCTAAGAATTCTTATTTTAGGATGAAACTCTTGGCCTCAATATTCTGACTAATATATTAGGGGATATTCTTTTTTTTTTTTTTTTTCCCACCAGAGCAGAGTTTGTTTTGCATTCAACATTACCTGCACATTTAGTTTCACTCCCCATTTATCATTCCCAACCCTAACCCAGTCTCCTCCCCTCCCTGCCCTGTGACAACCCCCTCCCCCCGTACCCTTCACAGTTACGCACTTCTGTGTGCCCTGCATTTTCTTAGAGGATATTCTTTCAGGACATGGTTTAGCTTTTCTTAGTTTATCTTTTTTCCTTCTATTTCCTGGATAGAAAAGAATTTTTTAAATATACTCATTTGAAGGTTGAATTTTCTGAATTATCATTATTTATTTTTTAAAAGTTACTCTGGCTTCAATAATAAAACAGGCAATCATTTCATTGATTATAATATATCGGGCATTTTGAGCATTCCAACATATGACCTGAATTGAAATCACCTGGAGTGCTTATAAAGCGTATGTGTTCTTGTTCTGAGTCAGAATTTCTGGAAATAAGAACTAAGAGTTATATTTTAACGAGTTCCCTGTGATTTTTAGGAATTCTGTCTTTAGAACCACTGTAATATATTGGGCTGAGGGGAAGAGGAGGAGAAAGAGGGAATAGAGGGAGAGTGATTGAGTGATAACTCTCAATCTTCAGGTTTATAAGGAAGATATCTTGATCATTTACCATGTGGTCATGGAGGGTTTTAAATGACTCTTGTTTTTACTGAATACAGAAGAGTTGGGCTTTTATATCCCCTCCTCCACATCTGTTATAAGTATTCTGTATAATTCACTGCCATAAACTTGATTGGACTCATAGTGACCCCTCCTTGGGTTTCCAAGGTAGTATCTCTACGGAAGTAGATTGCCCGGTCTTGCTTCTGAGGAGTGACGGGTGGGTTTGAAACACCAGCCTTCTGGTTAGCAGTCAAATGCCTTAGGCACTGTGCCACCAGAGATCCTAAAGTATTCTGTATATTCAACCAAATTTGGAAAACATCATTTTTTTCCTCTCCAAAAGGTGTCCCTACAAGATGAATTACCATGCACTCTGAATCTTTAAGGGGAATAAATATGTGGTATCTCTCAAACCAAAGTATTTGGCTATGGAGCTTTTTTCCTTAGAGTCCCTCATGTGACTAGTGTTCTATGAAAAACAGTTTGGAAAATTCTTCTTTGCTACTACTATTCTAGGAATTTATAGTTAAAGTATTTATACAGGGTAAACTGTATGTACTGGTTTGGATGATTATCAATTTGGTTTTAAAATCAAATAGAAATAAGTTCTTTTTAAACACACTTCAATTGAATTCAGGTGTCAGAATCTTAGATATTTGGTCTGTGGGAAATTATTGAAGAACTGCAAAACTTTCAGATGTTGAATGACATAAAGAAAATAGTTTAGTTTCTTGTTTATGTACCTTTTTTCAACACAGGAATCATTTTGGTTTGCAAACTGGGCAATTACATAGTAAGGTTAAAATATAGTCTTTAATTGGGAGAAAAAAAGAATTTGTTTCCCATTATTCTTTTTGATATTTCAAGGTATACATGTATATAATAAGAAAACTAAACTACAGAGAAATATGCACTAAAAATTAGTTTTGTCCCACTGTCTCTTTCCCCAGATCCCAGTGTTTCTTTCTATTGGTAACTAGTGTTAACAATTTTTAAAATTTCTTTACAGAAAAAAAAATTGCAATTAAATATTATCATATTGGCATTATGAATAAATCTCTTATAAATTTACTTTGATATATTAAGACTTTTTAACTAGTTCTCTCTTTTGGAGGTTTTTTTTTTTTTTTTTTTAAATAGAAGCAATTCCTTTCAGTGGAACTGTTGAATCAAAATTAAGTGTATTTTAGATTTTGATAGGTATTTGATATACATTTTAATGCATAGAAATGTAATCACTTAGGAAAATAAGTTATTGCTAAAAAATCTGTTCCTGATAGTATCTTTCTATTTTATATGTCAATTATGTAATACAGAAGTTTTTACTAATTAAACAAAAATAGTTTTTTTTTAATATAGGTATTTTTCCTAAGTATGAATTTTCAGAGGAAATCAAGAGGTCAAGAAGCTTAACTTGTTTGAGTTACGAAAAAACAGTAAAAAACAAAATACAGATGATGGGATTTTTCCTCACACTCAGAATGGAAAGTTAATGGTAGGATATAAGTTCATTCCTGGGTAGTGTATCATTTATTTCATACCAGCCAACTCTTTACATTGTTCCCTCATTTTATGACCTAGGACCCAGTATCTTATTTTCTATTGAAAACACTTCTGCGCTGATAAGAAAAGATAAAAACCAGATAATACCCTGTTGAGATAGATTTCTGATTTAAGTAATTCACTACTGACTCTAATAAAGATCCTTTTAAGCTACTTAAATGCAAAATCTATCACACTGACTTGTTCTAAACATTTGGAGATAGACTGAATCTTATCTTTGTATTTCTGAATATGCATATTGAGAGACTCAGAAAATAAGGAATAATTTTAGAGTCCTGTTGTTAATTGTAATTCTCTTCAGATTTTTAAACATTTTTGTTAGGTGATATCAGCCTGTTCTGATAGCATGTACATTTAAGAAAATTCACAATATGGCATTGACAGTGATATTGAAAAACTGCTTTCTTCTTTTAAGGAAAAAAATACAGCTTTGAAGAATTATCTCCCATTTTCCCCTATGTACCAGAACCATTCTCTCAAGTTCTCTGTTTTTTCCATATCACAGGAAATATTTTTTCTTCCACTGCTTAATTTCAACCCTTCTTCACTTATTTCTGAGTTCTACAGCAGCACCCCCTTCGTTCAGGAGCTCTGGTAGCATAGGGCCTAAGGCACTTGACTGCTCACCAGAAGGCTGGCAGTTCAAACCCACCAGCCACTCCTTGGAATGAAAGTTGGACAATCTACTTCCATAGTGAGACCACCTTGGAAACCAAAGGAGGAGGAGTTGCTATGAGTCGGGTCCCACTCAGCACATAAGAGCAACAACAAAATCCCTTCATCCTACCCTTTACCAGCCAGACTGCTCTGTATTCTCCTTCTAAACTAATTGACCAACAATATTGCTTTCTCCATGTAGCCCTTTTCTTCATGCACATGTAGTTTTCTTCAATAATATGTAGTATTCTCCTTTACTTATTGGCCTTAATATGGCCAATAAGAAGCAGAGCATGAGACAAGGATTAATGTGCAAGTGATTTATTAAGAGAGGCTACTCAGAGGTTACCTGCATGTAAGCAGAAATGAGAGGAAGAAGAAACAGATGAGCAAGGATGTGGTTTTAGGTGAGGTCTAGACTCAGCTTGATCTTGCAGGGAATTTTGGAACAACATTGAACCACAGAGTCTGTCTTGCCTCGAGGCAACAAAGCTAGGCTTTTCAATCCCTCCCCCACATCTGTTAGTCATGACTGCCAGCTGTCCTGGAAGTGTATATGGTGGTGAGGGGGCTTCGGAGGTGCCTTCTATTGTCCACTATTTTCCACAGAAGGTTGCTCATGACATATGTCGTTGGCAGCAATGCAAGGAATGTGGGCCATGGGTGTACTACCCTGTAGAAGGGCTCCTGATGATCCAGGCTGAGTACCAACAGCATCTGCTTTGAGATTCCATCCATCTGTCCTCTGAACAGAGATTCTCTGTAACTTAGACCTACTGAAATTGTCTTGTCCAAATAACCACTACTCAGCAGTGATTACATTGATGCAGGTGGGTTTCTCACCATCCCTTCCATGCCCTTACTCCTTTTTTTTTTTTTTTTTCTGTCCTCTCTACATTGCATAGTTTGGCTTCATTTGGAATGTCTACTCACCACTTTTCTGCCAAGCCATGCCTCCATATCCATAAAATTCATATCAAACCCTATCTCTTGCCCATAGTCTTTTCCTACTATTGAACCACTTTCATTTTTCCTCTCTGAACTTGTATTACATAATTGATGCCATTCAGTTCAGCATAAAATTATATATTAGGTATAATCAGGAATAATAAGGCTGATTCCATGAGTCACATAGAAATAAATCTAATTAGATAATATCATATTCAGTATTGCCCATGTTTTTTAACTAATTGTTGTCATGTGCTGTCAAGTCGGACCCAACTCATAGTGACCCCTCCTTGGGGTCCAAGGTGGTATCACGATGAAAGTAGATTGCCCATCCTTCCTTCCAAGGAGTGGCTGGTAGGTTTGAACCTAATGCTAACCTTCTGATTAGCAGTTAAGTGCTTTAGGTACTATGCTACCAAAGCTCCTAATTACTACATATATATTAATCTTGTTTCTCTAACTAGATTCCTTAAAGTTATAGACTATTTTTTACTCTACTTGCATTTTTAGAAATATTTTACTGTGTTTTTGCTGAAGCAGTTTAGGGTCGCATTCAACAATGTCTGTACATTCTGTTTAGTGACGTTGGTTACATTCTTTACAATGTGTGAATATTGTCATTTCCATTAATGTAGTTTCTATTAATTTAGTTACCTGCCCCCTTACATTCTCATTATTTTAAAGTAGTTGTTGATTATTTGGTCTCGTATGGGTAATTTTTTAAGGGACCACAGTACTTTCAGGTGATATTT